TTCCATAAATTATAATTCATCGATTTTAGCAGTTATGAAAGTTGTTACTAAAAGTTATACCCGATCCGATTTTTCGCATAGATTATATTTATATAGAAAAATTACATGTAACCTGATTCGTAAATAAATATTGTTGCATTGGAAACTTGGATAAACAAGTATTTGTAACAATAAGAGCATCTTTTCAATAAATAAATAAATTGCCTGATTGTGAGCCGGAACCGGCACAAGAAGTCCATTGCGCGTGATACAACATCATAGTATCCAAAGAGGAGTTCATTTTAATCTGTCACATCACAAGTTAGTTTCTAAAAAAAAGCAATTTAGTTAGTAATTTTTCCATAAATTATAGTTCTGTTTTTATAACTAGTAGACCATTTTTTCCAAAAACGTACACATTTGCAACAAAAAAAACCTTTAAATACACGACATGCATAAGCATGAGAATAACTTTACTGACTTTCTCTTCAATATATTCACGTATTCTAAAAAAAATGAGAAAAAATCTTCTCGAAGGATTATCAAAGGATTTCGGGGAATACCTAAAGGAAGGAGGAGGATATGACGTAAAAATACACATTGGGGAACATCATGATCAGAAGACATTCGAAGCACATTCAATGGTACTCGCCGCAAGATCACCCTATTTTCGAAGGGAAATAAGTGACATACCTCTGAATTCTAGAAAGAGTGTTATTGAATTACGTGAATCAGAAATCCCACCAAATGTTTTTGAGCTATTGTTGAGGTAATATACGCGTATATTCAGTGTTCATACACGTTTTTTGATGTGTTCCGTCATGGTACTAAATGTAATCACCTTAACATCATAGATATATTTACACTGGAATAGTACCGCTACATAATCCTGAATCGGAAGACTTTCTAGATATTCTTCTTGCCACGAATGAACCATTGCTAAGCAATGATCCGAGTTCGGTGGTTGATTTTATTCTCACCGCCGACAAATTAGAACTCAGCGAATTGGTAAACTATCTTCAGAATGTCCTCATAGAAGATAGAACCGAATGGTTATACAAGAACATTGATAAGGTTTATTCGCGAATTTCCCGTCACCATTCATTAAAAATTCTCAAAGATTTCTACAAGGACATCATCAGAACCAATGTGGAGTTGATGTTTCAGTCGGATAATTTTTTCAGTATGCCATTGAATGATGTGATTCTAATGGTATCCAGGGATGATCTCTTGGTGGATGAAGTTGAGGTCTGGAATCAGGTGGTCAGATGGTGTGTCTCTCAATTCCCGGATCTCTCAAGAAATCCCGAACATTGGACATCTAAAGAGTGCGACGATGTGAGGTCAAAGATGGAAAATTTTATTGATTTAATTAGGTGGGCATCTATTTCCGGCGATGAATTCACCGTTCATGTTGTACCATATGCAAAAATTCTGCCAGGTAAAAGATATTTTGAGAAGTTTTCAGTTCAATGTAAAGATTGCAGATTAACAGTTATTACGAATTTTCTTTGTTAGTGAGGCTATATCAAGACCTTGTGAGATATCACGTGAATCAAAATGAGAGACCGAGATCTCTCGATTTACCAAGACGTGTAGGAAAAATTGAGTCGGATTTGATATCCTTCAAGCATGCAAGTCTTATTTCGCAATGGGTCAAGGATCAAAACGAGAAATCCATTTGGCAATGGTTCGCATCAAAAAAAGAAGTAAACGCAGAAAAAAAGACAGTACAATATCGTTATAATCTTCTTATCCGAGGGAGTCAAAATGGCTTTAGCAAATCAGATTTCCTCGAAGCATGCCAATATAAAGGTCCGACCATTACACTCGTCAGACTCGAAGGATCAGATTTGATAATCGGAGGTTACAATCCAACCCCATGGGCACCTTCCGAAAAACCCAACCCTCGAACACGAAAGAGTTTTATCTTTGCATTTGATAATGTTCGCGGCGATCCAGTGGAAGTTGGAAGAGCCAGCAAGTTGGAAAATTCTGGGACCTATCCTATCGTATCTATAACCGATGAAGGTTTAAAATTCGGGAAAGATTTGTCTTTGACATTTACCGACATCCATAATGAAATAGGTCCCACGTTGAATTATCACAATGTT